GGAAAAGAACTGGAAAACACAACAACAAAAAACAGAAACGACCGTTAAAAAGCTTCTCAGGCCTTTTTCAGTCATGTGGAGAGGAACAAAAGAACATTCTAGACCTGATTCTTACTCAAAAGCAGAAAATATTAAAGGGAGGTTGGAGAAATATTATAGGGCCCTATGAAATCCATTTTATTTTCCCCCAGATTCAGTTTTAATTTTTCTAGATTCCATTTTTAATGATTAAATTAGATTTTATTAATCAAAAAGCATTTGTAAATAATTATGAAACTTATAAACGTTTACCTTAATGTTTTGAGACCAATGAAATGTCTTGTTTTTTCTTACCTTACGTTTTATTATGACCATATTCTGTGTTTTAGCATGTCTAATTATTTGAATGCATAAAAACAACTTAACATTTTTAAAACAGACTTATGTTTTTTTTTTTTTTTTATTGTGTTGTGTATTTACATTTTTCTGATTATCAAATGAAGGCATAAAACATTAATTTATTTTTAAATAATGAAAATTTAGCTATTTTTTGGCAAACAAAAGGAGATTTACTATTAAATCATGGATGAATTATTGTGTGATTATTCCTTAAAAAGTGAATTTACTAGTGATAGTAGTATTACGTACATTCTACTCAACAATAGTAATATATTTCTGGCACAATGTCGTCAAGAACTTTTATTTTGACGGGTTGCCATTAATACCTTTAAATTTGATGTGAGGCTAGTTTTACTCAAAGAAACGGTAAAATGCTCATGAAGTGACTCTCAGAGCAGTTCTGGAGATGCTCATGTATTTATGTCTTCATTTAGAGAGACGACAGACTCTGAAATCACCGCGAGCTTCAATCTTTATGACCAGATTCTGTCCGCGTTTTCCGCATCGTGGAAATCATAGGGCCCTAACATCACAATCGCACAGGAAAGCCCTATCATTACGCGCTGTGCTAAACACTCATGCATAATGCGCTATCTTACCGTACTTTATTAGCATGCAATGCAGAAACATTCTTTCAGCCTAAACATTAGTGCTGTGCAATGAATAGAGCGATCGATCTTTGTCTGTGAGCTCAGATGGAGACACAAGAGAGAGGATAATAGTTTACAGCAGGGAAACACGTGGGCCGGTCTCGATTATTTGTCTACAGGGTCACTCTCAGACATCTGCCGGCTCTGCAATTGCCTTGTTCACTATAAAAATCACACACACAAATGACAAAGAGAAAAGTTTAACAAAAAAAAAAGAAAAATGGAACTAAACTGGAAAGGCAATGAGTTAAACATCAGCTCCTGCCACTGACATATACACCTGTGGGATTCACTGCGCTAATGCCGTCGTCTACACACCGCGAAGGGATCGATCGCGTGATGAACGTGAAAAGAGCGGCACAAACCTTCGGCGAAGGGGACGACGATCAGGGCTCGGTCCACGAACACCGTGTTGGTCAGATGCTGGGAAACTCCGACTGACTCCGGCTCGTGGAACTTTACAAAACATACACGTGAAGTCACAGGCAAGGGAGAATCACTGAAAGAAAATATAGATGCTTTTGCGAGATGTACACACAACGTTCAACAACACCTCCTACAGTCACGCGTCGAGCACAAACACCCAAGATCCGGCTCGGGTTTAGATCCGCCAGCGGCCTACCTTCGCTGCAGATACGATGACGCCGGATGTTTTTCGATGGGTGAAAAACAACAAAAGCACAGAACAGAAGTTAGCTAGTGGAGAAGCCTACATTCTGCCTGATGATGGAGCAGATAAATCAGGCATGCATTTGTGTTCCTGAGCCTAAAACAGGGTTTCTGCAGGACTCGCGAAGCTGCAACGCGTTCAAAACAAAAACGGAAAACTTTTGATGCGTTCAGGGCTGCAAAACGATTAATCGCATTCAAAATACAAGCTTATGTTTACATACTCTGTGTGTGTACTGTGTATAAATACACACATATACATGAATATATTAAGGAAAATATGTTAGATTTATATAAGTACAAATATATCCACATACAAACACTTTTTTTTTTTATATATATACATGCGTGTGTTTATATATACATAATAAATATACACAGCACGCACATATAGTATGCAAACAAACGTTTATTTTGAATGCGATTAATTGCGATTAATCGTTTTGCAGCCCTAGATGTGTTTTGGACGTTCGTCTACACAACAAACTTTTGCTAAAAAGTTTCAAAGTATACGTTTTTGAAAACAATGCCATTATCGTCGCCGTGTAAACTACAGAAACGCAAATTTGTGAACGCGGCGACGTCATCGCATGTGTATTATACGTTCAGTCTATAGGTATGCGTGCAGCTGCGTTGTTTTTTTTATTTTATAAAGACACATCGCCACCTACTGGCCTGGTTTGAATACTACAGCATTTTTAGTAATTTGCAAGAATCTGTGTAAACGAGGATCAATTTTTCATTTTTAGTGCACTGCTGTTGTGTAAACGTACCGTAAAATGTATTACCTTTTTGAGATCAAGTGAAGAAAATTATTGGAGTGAATTGAACGGAACACAATACTTCAATATGGTCTCTATTAACAATGCTTCGAAGTTTGAAAATATAACTTAAAACCGACTTCAGGTTTTAAAAAAAATTCATTTTACAAAAATAACCGTTAGAAGTTAAATATCTCTGCTCATAAACAATAGAATGCGGAAATACATTTTACTGATCACACTGCAAAAAACTGACGCTTTTCCTCAGTATTTTTTGTCTTATTTTTAAATACTAATATCTAAAAATACAAATTTACTTGAAATATCTGCCAAAGGGCTCAGAAGAACTCAAACTAAAAGGAAAAACAACTTTTCATCCCGCCTTGGCAGATATCGGTTCATGTTTTAAACATAAATTCACTACATTTTGATCAGTTTCTCAGAAAACAAAACTTCATTTTGCGTCTCCAGTAAGTTAACTGTATCTTGATTTAAGCACGTTTAGATATTTGTACCGAAAAACAAGACAATACTGAGAAAGAGATTGTTTTTTTGCATTGCATGCAACATTTTATGCCACGACTTTATGCTCAAATTCAAGTCTTTAATTTGTGGGAGAAATAACGCTTCTTAAAACCCGCAGAGACCCTGCGCGATCAGAGCCGCGTAATTACGTGCGTCGGTTTGATGACGCACAGACGCAACAAGGCGTGACGCAAGGCTCTTTATACAATAAAGCGAAACTAGTGTAAAATAGGTGCACCAAACATCAGTTATTATGAGTGTTTTAATCGTCAGAATTCATCCCGAGGAGCTCACATGTAGCTAAGCTAATGATAAACGATCAACTAACGTTATATTACAAATAAACATACCGCTGTTTAACTGGTGCAGATGAGTTCTGGATTGTGTAGTTGATCTATTTTAGAAGATTGAGATCCTCTGTGCGAGTGTGGATGCGGTGTATTTATATTTTTACACACTAATCGGGATGAATAAACATATGTGGTATTGTTAGAAAGACGAACTGCAGTAAGTTATATGCGTGTGTACAGCGCTCTCCTTATTAAATACGCTTATTTGGATGTTTTTGTTCTTTGAGGGGCGTGTTTTGGAACAATTTATACTCACTCTGGAGGAAAGAGTCGGAGCTCGTCGATGGTTCCGATGAAGCCGAACAGGGTTCGCATCTGCTCCGCGGTGCTGCTCGGCGAAACGTTCGTCACCTGGATCACATTGGTGCTGGACGTCATTGTGGCTCCGTTTTATGGCGAACGTCGACCGAAAGACATTTAAATCCGACCGATCGCTCGGTTTTCTCTCGATTTCTCCTCAGTGAAGGCCTGCTGTCTCACGCTAATGGCGCTCGTGCTGCGTGCTGCGTGCTGCGTGAAGCGCGCGCTCATTAGAACATGGCGGCGCACGGGGCCGATTTCAAAATAAAAGCTCGACACGAAGCTACAGTTTTCAAAATACAAGTCCTTATACTCCTGACGTGTTCTAGAAATGTGCTGTTTCAAATTAAAAGTCTGCAAACGTCGAGATGAACTATCTATGCGCTTAAATGTCATGAAATGTCTAATTACAAAAAAAAAAAAACTCATTTTCTTTATGTAACGTATGTCTTTCTTATGATTATAGCGGGAAAGGTGTTTTTTCGAGATTAGTTTTAAAACGCAACTTTACGGTTATCCACACTTTACTTCTGTGACTATTAATAACATATTCTATTGTACACTGTTGCAAAATAACAATGTATACGTCTGTTTCTTTATATGATTTTATCACCAGACAATGAATAGAGAAATATAAGCGACAATATGCAACAAAGCAACTTTTAGCATACCGTATATCGGTGTTATTTTAGTACAGTTGAGATGCTACTATGGTTTTAGTAATATTTGAATCAATTAATATATGTTAAATATATATGAGTTTGTTAAATACGTGTTTATATTTTATTTTAATATAGCTTTCCTTTTAATTTTAGTTAAAGTTTTAGTAAGTGTGTGGTTTTGTCATTTTTATGTTTTTTATTATTTATACATAAAGTTCTAGTTGGAATTATTTTAGTACATCAAGTTAAAATAAATGAAAACGACAAACGCTGCCTTGATTCATTTTATTTCAGTTTACATTTATTTTATTTTAAGCTACGATTTAAAAAAAAAAATATATATATATACTGTCTTTGTGTGCAATAAATATTTCACAGTGTAAATGCATTACAAACCAGCAATAGTTTTGAGATTTATAATAATAATAATAATAATTCCTTACATTTATATAGCGCTTTTCTGGGCACTCAAAGCGTCTAAGTCACTAAAGACAGAAAACAAATATTGCTTTAAAGCTTTTTTGATGTCCTGTTTTGTACAAAGTAGCGCGTGTACATCCGGTGTGGCGGTGACGCGGGCGGAAGTCGTCACTCCGTGTCAGCAGACAGGAAATGGAGAGTGAAGGGGCCTCATCGATAGATTAGCGGCGGTGATTGTGATCGATTACTCTGTTGATGGTGGATTGGAGCTGATGAACGGAACCAATGGAGCCCCATGAGGAGAAGCCCATCATCTACACGATGGAGAACAAACCCATAGTGACCTGTGAGTGACAGACAGATGTGTGTGTATGAGCGAGCAGCAGTACTGTCAGAACACACACACACACTCACACACACACTCACACTCTCTCACACACACACACACACACACGCACACACACTCACACACA